TGTGTGTGTGTGTGTGTGTGTGTGTGTGTGTGTGTGTGTGTGTGTGTGTGTGTGTGTGTGTGTGAATCTTGATCTTGATATATATATATGTGTGTGTGTGTGTGTGTGTACGTGGCTAAAGTTGGCTAGTGTAGTGAATCTTGACATTGATTCAGTAAAAGAAATCAAAATTTTGAAGCTTTCAAATTTTAGAATTTCAGCTCGAGTTGGCTTCCAATTTGCTCATTATCTATTAATATTTACAGTTGAAAGCAGAAATGCCTCAAGGAAAGATTCGTTGGAAAGGTTTAGTGAAAAGATCTAATAAAATAAACTTATTTCAGAAAATATAAAATTTGTGAAAAGTTAACAAGTTGAAAAATGAAATATAAAGTAATCCCCTGTGTACGTATGTGCGTTGTAGATTTTGGTCAGTGAAGAACGAAAGGCTGAGCTAAATGTTGACGAACAATTTGTGGCTTGGATTAATTTTAAATATATATCAATCCCCCCTTGACTTAGAATTTATGCATCAAAGCATAAGTAATATCATCCAAAAGAAAAAAAAAGAAGCATGGCTCCTAAAGAAAAATTATGAAATTGAGAGTTATTATATGCGAGTTTGAAGTTATAAAATAATTGTTTTGTAAATTCTTAATGATGTTGTATGAAATATATATTGAGATTGAAGCAATGATTTTCTTGTAAATTCTTAAAAGCATACAGTTTAGGGAACAATAATTGCTAAAGAGGAAGACATTGTAAACTAGGACATGGTTGTGGATATGGAAAAAAAAAATGTAAAGATGAATATAATATTAACTCAAATAAATTCAAAGACATGAAGATTAACAATAAATAAGTGGCCATGGAAGTGAAAATTTATAGTTGACCTATGAAAGATTTCATATTAATTGTATAATTTTCAGAAGATTAATAGCCACTTTTGAATATAGATTTAAAAAAAATATATATGTAGAAGAGAGAAACATTTTAGAAGATAAAGACAAAGGAGAGAGAATCTTGTTGTTAGCATGCAAGAATCATGTGAGTGGAGAAAAGATCATGTTCGTTAAGCTTGATGAAGTAATAAAAGAAATCGTCTCAGTGGTAGATGAAACAAAAAAAATGTAGTTGGAAAATGTTAAATTCTAATATGTTTTAAAAATGAATGAAATCAATTAATCTTAATTTCTTACTTCATTACAAAAAGGAAGAGTAATATTTTTAGTTTGCACTAATTTTAAGAGAAAAGATATAATAATCACTTGAAAGGACATGGCCTTTTCTTAATAAAAAATGATTGAAACAATTTTATTTCAAAGCTTCGTATGGAGGGAGGGAGGGAGGGAGGGAGCTTATATTAAAAACTCAATGTGAATTATGACAGATTTATGTTCAAGTGTGTTGGCTTCAATTGTAAAGTTATTGATAATTTGATAAATTTCATCTACCAGAGAGTTGGAAAATTTCCTAAGTAGTTTAAGTTGAATGATTTCTTCATGAGCTTTCATTAATCTTCCTAAAGTATTTTTGAGTTTCTGAATTTTCTAATTTTTGGCAGTTTTCTCAATTTCAGGGTCAAATTAACAGGACAAATTCAACGAATACAGTCCTACATATGTAACTTAGGACTAACTTGAGACTCTAAGTAGAAAATCAAGTCAATCTGCAAAGTAAAAACACAATAATTTTAGTAAAATAAAACTAGGTAACTCTAAGAAAAGAACTAAAACATTAATCACCATATTTATTATTCTACGTTTTCCATTGTTTTCCGTTCATTTTTCTCTTTTTTTCATTTTAAAAGGAGTCGCCAGCTTGTCAATCGTCGTATACGTCCCCTATTCGAATAAATCTCCCTCCCGAACCATATAAATGATCCGAAGAGGAGAGGAATCAAATAAGAAGGGACATACGACAAAGTGACAAACAAGAGAAAAAGTAAAACGTGGAGAGTCTACGTGCGATAAACATCGCAAATATAGGTTAAGAATGTCCGCCCAAACAAGATTGGACGAAGGCACCTTAAACCAATATCCGCGAAAGAAGTATCTACATAGAGTACCCATAACCAGAGAGGCAGGTGTATGTACATGTTCTGGGGTCAAGAGCACTCTCAGAGGAACGTGTTCCTACTGGTTAATTACATCTTGGGGGATACCCAAGAATTACACACGATAAAAGGAGTAACACTTCGTATAATCATAAACCTGGGGTATAGGCAATCAAAGGAAGGTTATTCAGTGTGGGAACGACCCCAATGCTTCAAAGCTTACGCCAAACAATCGAGCAGAGAATGAATCTCTCACATCCCGAGTGGGTAGTGGCTAATCAACACACGGGGTCCACGAACTAACCTAAATCATCTTGACGGGGATATCCCAATACATCAAAGCACGTCCGGGCCAAAGGGCAGAGGACAAATCGTCGTATCCCAAATGGGCGGCAGCTCATCGGCATTGGGCGTCAAGGTGATATCAACGAGGTCAAGGAGCGACAGGGCTCAAAGGGGCTCAATAAAAAGGAAAGTAGAGTGATCCTAAAAGGTAGAGGTAACTGGGTCGGGGTACTACTGACCCGTCATACACAGCTACTATGCCCTAAGTTTACCTGGTCGTGAAGGTAGTTGACCCAACACGTCCTGAAATCCCCGGTTTGCAATCAGTGAATTGCATCATCCACGGGAACCTCGGTAGCCCTAAGGTCAAAGGAAGGAAACTCTATCCTATGACTACAAGCTGGAGCTCCAAGAGGTGGGACTTATACCCGCCGAAATGGCAAGGATGCCTCCGGAAAGA